AAATGTCTCTGAAAAACCCGCACCTCTATTTTATGTACTTATTTCTCTTGAACTATCAAAACAAATTTAGTGTAAAAACGTGGAAAAGAGGGCCATTTTTATTCATCCACACTTTTTTGAGACACCCTATACAAATGAACATAATTACGTGAAATACGAGCTAGTGCACGTTTATGGTCTGCACTTAAAATTAACTTAAGACGCTTTGTTGCAGGACCCTGTAGATTTTTTACTGTGGTTATCAACACTGTCTATGCGTCTATGCCAATGAGGCAAAAAGCCTATGTCGAAATACAGGGCGACCCGGTATACTAAAAAGACCTAATATAAATTTTTCTGTTTGCGATTTTCACCCCAATTTTTTTTATAAATGTGGCCAATGGTAGCGCACATTGTGAAAATATTTTTACCCATGTACAGGGTGATACAAAAATATTTTTGCACTAATGTTGTAGTTTTCCCTTTAAAAGAACTAAAAAAAATTACCTATAATAATTTGTAGAGCTCATACTTTTTGTACCATTTTTGCTTAAGATTTTACTATTACTTTAAACTGAGTTATTTTTTAGACTTTATATCGTTGGATAATAAAGATAATAATTATTTTTGACTTCAGTTAGATTTGATATAGAAGCACGACATAGATTTTCAGACATTTTTAAAACTTGTATTGTCCAATTTTCTAAATAAAATAAATGCATATAATTTTGAAAAAGACACTATATATTTCTATTTGAAAAACATAAAATAATAGTGATGTTATTTAAAATTTGAAAATTTTTATAGTAAATCTACCGAGCAAACAAAATATAAACCTTCCCATTTAAAAAACCGCAACATTAAGTGTACAATTATAGTAGAATCACAGTGTAATCTCTATTAAAACACAAGTATATCTATTAAAACAGTTTGCAAGAAAGAATGAGGAAAAAAGATGTTAACTTGATTTGAAGATTTTTCGGTATACTGGGTCAGCCTGTATACAGTATATGTAAATTATCATATAAAATTTATATAAAAAAAAATATTACAATTATTTAATAAAAGAAAAAAAAATAAGATCCAACTGATAGTTATTGTTGGAGGTTTTAAAAAGATTTTTTAGGAAATATAGACAACCAACAAATCATCTTAACTTAGAAAAACCCCAAAAAAAATAATTAAAAGTTTGATAACCACAGCAAGTAGGACAGAATAATATTTATAATCAATATTAGGTGTATTCAATCAAATTGAGGAGTGTTTTATCTTTTTTTTTTCATTTAGCGTAATCAAAAAGATCTAAAAATTAGAGCAACAAAACCAATAATATTATAATTTAACAATTACCTTACTCTGCAAATTAAATTATTTAATTAAATATTTGCACTGAAAAAAAACACCTTATATTGATTATATTACATATAAAAGCAAATTGTAATATTAAGAAAAATGCGACTGTTAAGTTTTACATAAATACAGAACAATGAGAAACAACTGCAAAACAACAATTAGATAGATGTACATGTAGCATCCATATATTTATTAACAAAATATAATTTTATATTAATTATACTGTACTTTATTATTAGATGACAAAATCAAAAAATATATATTTTGTATTAACTCTGTTTTTTTTATTTTTATTCTAATGAGGTCTACATATAAAATGCTAATGTTTATTCTTGTCGTCTCTACTGAAGTAACGACTTGCTCTAGAAAGTTGCTGGGTCAAAATCACGAAGGTGCGAAATTCGCATCGCCACAGTATAATTTGCAAAAATCGCATAGTTATTGAATAACTAAATTTTGATAAAAATTTAATTTATTCGTTTTATCTGCACATTATTTAATATACTTTAAATGTAAATAATATTTAAAGTTATTTCAAGTTATGTACATAAAAAGTCATTTCGAACAATAGTAACAATAAGCTAAAAATATTAAGTGCCTAAAGAAAAATGCATCAGCGAAAAAAATTACCCTAAACTGAAATAAGAATGATTATAATATTTAAATAATTAACGTTAAATCAACAAAATGAAATATTTAACTAAAAAAAAAATTATTGAATTTTTATCCGACTTTATATTTAAGAAGCGTTTGCAAATAACTTTAACGTCAAACACAAAGTTTTTAAGTTGAAATATCACACAAAATAAAAAAAGAAAAATATAATAAACAGATGGTGCCCCATGTACTTCTAGTTAGTTAACTACAAAACTTCAGGTAAGAAGAGTGAATATGGAATAAATGCGATAATAAATATTATTTAAAAAAATAACTGCTTAAAATAAATTAGTTTCGCTCATTTTATATTATGGCGAATGCGCTAGGCGATCCTAGAATATATTTAGATACAATATGAATATACTCTGTCTGTAAAAAATAAAAGAATGTGTAATATATTTTTCATATAAAAAATGTATATTTACTTTAGTATACAGGGTGTCACGTTTTAAAAACCTACATTTCATACCAATAACATTAACAAAATTGACAACTTACAACATTTTTACACTGTTAAAATTAAAAAGCATGTGTGATAATCTTTGAAATCAGAAAAAATGTGCTATTTAATACACTCCTAATATACAGGGTGTCTTATTTAAACATTAAACATGTTTATACCGATAACTATAACAATTGAGAGATTATGACATTTTGCTAATTTAAAATTAAAACTTGACCAAAACTTTTTTATTTTTTATTTATTTATCAATATCCTACCTCAAAAAATAAAAAATATATATAAATAAGTAGTATAATGTTTGTTTAAAACTAGGACAAACAGCAATGTTATATGTAAAAAAATAAAATAAAGTTGTTTAGTTAATTTGTACTATGTTAACACAGATGCGGTAGATTTTAGAATATACAATAAAATCGGTATTAGCGACTGTTTCATGATACACCCTGTATAAAAAGTCTTTGTTGAATGAAATGCGCAACTAAAAATGTCAATACAAATACATACAAAATGGCTTATGTTATATAGTCTGTCCAACGAGCCGAAGAAGATTTTGACAGAAGATATCCTTAAAAATGACAGCAAATACAATTTACCTGTTAATTAAAATGACAAACACAACTGTCACTGTCAGCGATCCTCTCGTTGGATAGACTATATTACACATGACATAAAACAATGCAAAACAGTAGGTATATAGATTTATTAGGAGTAAAAATGATACTTTTTGTGGCAAGGCTGTATCGACATTACAGGGGAAGCACAAAATTTCATTTTTACTCTGAATAGAACATGCTGTTTTTTTCGAACGTCACAAATAATTGATGCAAGGAGCGAGTTACGTTTTAAAAAATATTCAGAATTTATTATTTCAAGGGATTTATTACGAGTAGAAAAAATATTGTGCTGGGTTGGCGTTGGTTTCTATGTAATTTGACAAATAAATAAAACTGTCTCTTTAGTTGTCAGTTTTGAGTCAATATTTTTTAATTCTCTTTCGTGTCGATTGCTGATTGAATTGGAGCCAGAAATGGCTCAAAACGAAATAAGTAAATTACCAACAGATATTCAGGCTGAGGCAACAAAAACGCTATGTCCAAACTACTTCCATTTAAATCCCGAATAAGTTATGAAAAGGAATACAAAAATTTTAAAAAATGGAAGCAATTAAAAACCGTGCGAGAAAAAATAAAGTTTTTAACCTATCCTCACTGTTATAGTATCATTTAATCTACCCTTGCGGTTAAAGTACTATTTTATCTACTATTTTTGATATATATAAGGAAATTTTAACAGTTGCTATGGAAAAAAAAGTAATTATATATCGAGAAACTACGATTACGCTCGTTAAATTTGACACATTTTCACACAATACATGTCAGTTTAATAATATATTTTTTCGTACTCTTATGGCCTAGGCGTTAAATTATTTTTTATATCGTCAATCACGTCGCAAAAATGTATACTTTGTGACGTTTGAAAAAGAAATTATTTTATAATCATGAAAATTGATCAATCACGAAAAAAACATCTGTCCCTAGGCCAGTGGCGCATCTAGAGGTTGGGTCTGGGAGGGGTAATGGCAATATTTAAGTAAACTAGTAGATTCGAATTAAATTTTTGCTGAAAAGTTTTGTGAAAAAAGACTGTGAAAAAAAATTGGAATTGTAACTATTTTTATTTTATTTCTAAATTTCTTTCTGGGAAGGGTAATTACCCCCATTACCACTCTCGTATGCACGCCGCTGTCCTAGGGTACCAAAAATAATTCACAAAAGCAAAAAAAAAATAGAACACAAGTATTAACAAAATGGATTATTTTACTAAAAATAATCATTCAAGAACTTATAAAAATGATTAAATCGACCATTAAACTATTAAATTATTATCTGATCGTAGATATAGTTAGATAAATTCCATAAAATTTAGTTTGTATTAATACAATAAATTAAAAAAGCTTTAAAACCAAAATAATACTCGTGTTCATAGAGCTATAGTGACGCAGCTGCGCAAGTATAACATTTATAATTTTGATAATCTGGAATAAATTTAGAAACACTTAAGAAATTATAAATAATACAAGATAAAAATAATTAAAGAACTACTACTATAAATAACTGGTAATGATACAAATTTATAAAGAATGTCTTTAATTTTACTAAAAAAATATTACGTTATAATACAACTAACAATTTAATTAATAATTACAATATCTAATAACCTTTAATGAATGAAAAAATAAAAGATAAATGAGATTGAAAAAAAGCTTAAGAGATGAAAAATTATAACAGATACTATTACATTGCTCAACATATTTTTCATAAAGATTAATGCATAGATTTTAATGATTTAAAATTAATCAAACATGCCTCAAACTAGAGGCAATTAGATAATAAATAGAGCATCAAAATAAATTAATATAAAGCCAATATAAACAGAGATAATGGTCCTATTCATAAAATAAAGTATTGTTCTTAACTAGTGTTTTATTTTGCAAAAGCTTAAGAAAAAAAAAAGATTTTTGTCCAGATTATCAAAATTTTACAAAAAATTAACATTAAAATGACGCCTGATATAATTATATAGTAAGAGGATAAAAACCAATAAACAAATTTATTGAAACAATAACACTATTAATGAAGCTAACGAAGCTTGGTGAGGCATTGAGGAGTATTGAGTCTGCTTTATGTTGAGTGAAAGAGGAAAGTGACGAGTAGGAGCAACTGTTGGGATATCCATTGTTAAGAAAATGCAGAGATATCTAAAAAATAAAATAAAAATAATATTAAAAAAATGAATAAAACAATCTATGTATGTAAAAATTAAATATATTTTTATTAACGCAATAACTATGATTTTTAAATTATTAATTTGTATATACTCCCTATGAGAAAAAAAAACAGCATCATAGTGGCTTATAAAATAACAATTGCTGACAATTATTTCTGCCAGGTAGACCAAGAAATATCATTAATAAAAAATTGGTATAAAAACTTGTAAAAAATCAAAGAATAAAAAGTTAAAAAAATTCAAAATTCATATTTTTTAAGTTAAGGTTTTGAATAATAGTTGATATGTTTGAAAACTCTTTCCTTTTTTTCATTTAAATATTATTATATAATTTTTGACAAGTTTTTATATCAATTCTTAATAAATTACATAAAAAAATAGACGTTAAAAAAATATATAACTATGTAAAAAGTAAAATAAATATATATTTTTATCGGCAAGCACATTGATTTGTCAAGGCCTAAAAAGTATAAATATGTAAACGAATTCAAAAAGTACGTCCTTCCTTAAATTAATAATTTATATACATATATACTGTGAGAAAAAAAAAATTAGCATCACAGTGACCTTTGGAATGACAAATGATAACAATTACCACCAGGTAGGTAAAAATTGACATAAAAACTTATCAAAAATTAAAGAATAAAAAAATTAAAAGAAAGCAAAGTTCATATTTTTTTATGAAAACCTTTGAATAATAATCGGTATGTTTGAAAACTTTTTATTTTGTTACATTTAAATATTACTTTTGACAAATTTTTATGTGAATTTTTAATAAATGATATACCGGGTGCGTCTCAAAAGTGGTTCACCTGTATAACTTTTTTATTTTTTCAGATAAAAAAACGAGATTTAGTATGTTAGTATATGACATACATTAGGATTGACTGACGTATTCAATTGTTTTAGGTCACTTGCTGTTTCACCGGAAATGACTACAACTTTTGATTTTTAAATAGCACCCTCGGTATATTTCTACTTTATTGGATAGAAAATGACACTCTGAATAGAATGATCTATCATATGTCAAATTTTGACATTTGGCATATGATTTATTTGAAATTGTAACATGGGATACATATAGCGACAATTTGACTCAAAATACCAAGTGTGTGGTACCAAATTATTCGTACAGAAATGCTTTTTCTAAATATGCTAATGAACCACCTTCGTTCCATTTGAAAAAATTGAAATATGATTAAAAATGTGATTTCGGCATCTTTTATTCAGAAAGAATAAGATACGAAAAACATTAGACTATCAAAACTATTTTTCCAAGGCTCCTTGATTAAAAATTATTGTTTTTAACACAGCCATGGTACTCTAGATTGAAATTTGAAATACGATTTGTTTTTAAGCTAAAATTGACAAATAATATGTCATTCTATTCAGAGTGTCATTTTCTATCGAATAAAGTAGAAATATACCGAGGGTGCCATTTAAAAATCAAAAGTTGTAGTCGTTTCCGGTGAAACAGGAAGTGACCAAGAACAATTGAATGCGTCAATCAATCCTAATTTATGTCACATGCTAACATACCAAATGTCGTTTTTTTTATCTGAAAAAATGAAAAAAGTTATAGTGGTGAGCCACTTTCGAGACGCACCCGGTATAGGAATAGACGTTGGCCTCATAGGCTTCTGAAACTTATCATAATTTTCAAGCTTGTCAATGAAATTTAGTAAGAAAAAAAAAAATAAAATAAAATAAATAACTTACCAGTGATGAAGGACTGCGACCACTAACAGCTATTAAGTACAGTCCTAAATAGTCTTTCTGAGTCTTTTCCTGCAAGTTTCATTCCATTTAAAGCTTTTGGCTGTCCACCATAATATTTGCAGATAGTACGGCTTGTGGATTTTTAACAGCAATAATTGCGTTAAATCGTCCCATCTTATACCTAAAATTCCAAAGAAATATTAAGTAAATTTTTACAATACTAATTTTTGAAGATTTTTGAAAACAAAATTAATAAAAAACAAAACAAAAAAGATTAATCAAAATTATATTTATTAAAATATATAATTATGGCGTTTATTCTAGTGAGAACTCTAATATATCGTATATCGTCAAGGTGTGTGTGTGACGAGTTCTGTAATTTCAAACCAAACAGTTTTGAAGAGCGAATGTTGACAATTTGGCGAAGGATTTTTTAAATGAGTATAAATTGTGTGTATATAATGCGAAAATAAATCCGTTAAGTATTTTATCGTGAGTTTAAATTAGTGGACCCACAGAATCCTTAACAATATGCAACCAGTAATACAGTATCAGCATTTTATTTTGTCCTGCCTATTTTTAATAGTTGTTGGCTTTTCTAATATTGGAACCTTAGATTGGAACATAAGCGCTTGTATATATTTAAGAAAATTTCAAGCTGTCCAATGAAATTTTATTAGATAAATAACTTACCATTGATGAAGAACTGGATCCCCTCTAACAGCTATTAGTAACAGCAGTTCAAAATGGTTTTCCTCATTTTCTTCTGCACAAGTTTCATTTCAAATATTAGTTGCAGCTAGTAGAACTTATTTGTTTCTAATAGCAATTGTCCTTTCGTATATCTAAATAAAATATATATATTAGGTAATTTTTTATTATAGCAATTTTTGAAGCTATCAGAAAACAGACAATAACATAAATTATCTTAATATTTGGAACTATCTAAAATAACAAATAAATAATACTCATTTTGTTAATATTAATTTGAATACGTTATAAAGAGTTATATAAAATTAAAAGAAAGACTTTGATAACTTCAGAAATAATATAAAAATTGTAAATTTCCTTGATATGAAAGTAATACATTATTGGGTATACCCATTATTGTAACGAGTTATTAATGACCAAAAAGTTAAATATCTAGCAATAACTTGTAAATGATTACATTTATTTTGGTGGTAACTTTAATAATTAAAAAAAGTCTATGCAACCAGTAATACAATATTGGCATTGTTAACTTTTTTATTTTTGAGCTAGAACATTCGTTAAAAAAAACAAATTATAGGGTTTCCTGTTAAGTTTTAATACATTTTATTGTTATTATGTATGTTATGTTATTACCCCGTAAATTTAAAAAATAGATAAAAATGATATACAAAAAAAATCATTAAAACTTGAGTTAAAACCTTCTAATTTCTTTTTTTTTAATTAAAATTCTAGCTTCCAAAATAGAAAAAGTTAAAACCTGTTAAAATTTAGGGCAAATTAAAATGCTAACTGTACAAACTGCAAAATATGAATATTCTACAAAATTTAATAATTTTACAGAATTTTCAAGCTTATCAATGCCAATTCATAAAAATATAAAAATATATAGAGGGTATTTCACGTAACTAGCTCATTAAAAGTGTTTTAAGATGAAATTTAGTCTAAATTAAACTAGTTATAGACTTAGAAAAATATATACATTGAAAAACATTTAATGAACCAGTTGTATGAAAATTTCTGTATATAAAATGATCAAAATAACTTACCATTATCAAAAGGCAACAGATGTCGAGCCCAACCCTGGTTCTATTAACTTTACATCCTGAAACGACTGACATTTTTCTGTATCCAATCAAAAATTTTCCTCCAAAGCTGCAACTTGTTCGTTGAGTTGTGACAGCAGCTGTCAAAATGTCCATTAACATGAATTTGTTCAGCTCACTAAAAGTACAAAAAAAAAATTATGACGTCAGTTTGTTCATACTAAATTTATCATAATTTTAAACCTTGTCAAAGAAATTTAATAAAATAAAATAAATAAATCAGACGTCTAAATGCAAAACCCGACAAGTGACACATTTTGGAAAATTGAGATCTATACACCATTTAATTCGTTATCCCAAGAGAAACTATGAATTACATTTTTATGCAAGATATTTTCGAGAAATAATACACTAGATAAATTCAGTCCTGTAGATTTATTATTCTTTCTACTATTCATAATATTTTAAATAATTTTTAGTGTATTCTGTAAAATTGATTTCAATGGACTTGTCAGATTTTGCATTTAGAGACGTCTGAAATAACTTACCATTGATGAAGGACTGCATCCACTCTAACAGCTATTAAGTACAGTCCTAAATGGTCTTTCTGAGTCTTTTCCTGCAAGTTTCATTCCATTTAAAGTTTTTGGCTGTCCACCATAATATTTGCAGATAGTACGGATTGTGGATTTTTAACAGCAATTGTCCCATCTTATATCTAAAATTCCAAAAAAATATTAAATAAATTTTTACCATACTAATTTTTGAAGATTTTTGAACACAAGATTAATAAAAAACAAAACAAAAATTAATCAAAACTATATTTATTAAAATATGTATTTATGGTGATTATTCTAGTGGGAACTTTAATATATCGTCGAGGTGTGTATGACGAGTTCTGTAATTTATAATAATTGGTTTGAATAGCGAATGTTGACAATTTGGCGAAGGATTTTTTTTTTAAAAATTAATTGTGTGTTGTAATCAGTATAAACTGTGAGAAAATAAATCCGTTAAGTATTTTATCGTGAGTTTAAATTAGCGGACCCACGGAATCCGTAACAATATGCAACCAGTAATACAGTATCAGCATTTTATTTTGTACCGCCTATTTTTAATAGTTGTTGGCTGTTCTAATATTGGAACAAAAGCGCTCGAATATTAGAAAATTTTAAAAATTTTCAAGCTGTCCAATAAAATTTTATAAGATAGATAAATAACTTACCATTGATAAAGAACCAGATCCGCTCTGACAGCTATTAAGTAACAGCAATTCAAAATGGTTTTCCTCGATTTCTTATGCACACAAGTTTCATTTCATTTAAATCTCTTTTATGACCACCATAAATATTAGTTGCAGCTAATAGAACTTATTTGTTTCTAATGGCAATTGTCCTTTCGTATACCTAAATAAAAAAAATATATATTAGGTAATTTTCTATTATAGCCATTTTTGAAGCTATCAGAAAACAGACAATAACATAAATTATCTTAATATTTGGAAGTATCTAAAATAACAAATAAATAATACTCATTTTGTTAATATTAATTTGAATAAGTGATATATAATGAGTTATATAAAATTAAAAGAAAGACTTTTATTGATAACTTCAGAAATAATATAAAAATTGTAAATTTCCTTGATATGAAAGTAATACATTATTATATCGAGTTATTAATGACCAAAAAATTAAATATCTAATTTACTAGATATACAGGGTGTCCGGAAATTAATGCAACAAAATTTGGTCATAGATTTTTGAAAAAAAAAAATGTGACCCGTATTTTTTATTTTTAGCCAGTGGCCCCCCTTTTCGGATTTACAGCCCCCTGAATTTTGCCCCTAAAAAGAGCTTTTTTTACATTGTACTACCACGTTGTATTACCATAAAATGACATTTTTTTTTCATCAGTGGCGTCCCTACGGTATTTAAACTAAATATTATTAAAGAAAAAAATGGTACGCCACAGTTTTTTTTAAATAAAAATTATTTTTAAAATCTACATTAAATTTGGAACAAATTTTTGATCTCTTGACTTTTTTTTTGGTACGACGCACCGTTTTCGCGTATAAAAAATAAAAACCATTTTCATACATGAATAAATCGCTAAAATTTTACTGTAAATTTCAATGGGAAAATTTTTAAAACTTAAGCTTAAAATAATCTTTGCCGTTTTTTAAATTTTGCTATGAAAATTTACATTATGAAATGTTATGTTATGTTAAAAAAATAAACGCAATAGTAACTCTTTAAAATATTCATAGATTTTTACAAAAAGAAAACATACTAAATAAAATTAAAATTGTCTGATACAAATTTGTAAATAACTACAAAGATTGAAAAAAAAATATATTAACATATTTTCAATCTCAAACTTACTTTATTTTGAATTTGAAGCCTACAATTTTGTAGTGAAATACAAAAATTGTAACCTTAAAAAATAATAAAATTATAAAAAAAACTTACCATTTTCATAGCGCAATGGTAATGAAGGCCAATCAATTTAAGTACTACTGATTGTATCTTGAAATTGTCATTTGTGGGTAAGATTTTCAGTATCATTCCATTCAAAAAATTCCTCCGGCATTCATCAATATCATATATAATATCAATATAGATAGGCAAAATACAAAATTAAGTTGATTTGAATAAAAAAAATTTCCTAATAAATTTAAAATTAAATATTGCACCTAAAGTTATTGAAATATAACATTATATGTGTAAAATATGTCATAACTTCCAAGCTTTCCAAAAACTTTAATAGGAAAGAAAATAATGTGAAAAAAACTTACCATTTTTGAGAGATATCTGCGTTGTTGAAGTCAAAGTCCTGTATCTACTGTAGAATAAATTGGCCATTTGTGAGCCTGTTCATAGTTTAAATTATGTCAAAACTTCTTTGATGTTTCTAATAATTCATCCATGTTGTTATAACAGCTGCCATTCTACATTTCCGATTTGCACCAATAGATATGCTTGTATAATACATATATAAATGAAACTTGATGTCCAAGATACCAATAAATCTATAAAAAAATAAAAGTTGTGATAAGTATTTATTTTTTGTAACTAGATGAAAAAAATTACCTTAATACAGTTGCTCCAAATTTCCTTCAAAAAACTTCCGTTACAGCCAACAAAATCCTCCTTCTTTCCTCAAACATCTTCTATCTCCTTTCCTTCTATTTCAAAGCAATACTCTTCCATCTTCTCTGTCCTCTTCTATTTTCCAAGTCTGACCAATTCTTATTCAACTACTTATATAACTATACAAATTTCAGGCGTCTTACAAACATTTTTTAAAAAGGGGGAAAAGGGATATAATGCTACAACAAACGGCTACGCTAGCGCACCTACCTAAAAAAAGAAAAACACTTTTTTTAGTCAAAGAAAATGATAAATATAAAGTTATATAAATTTACCTGATGGCATCTAGAAGATGGCCCTAATCCTGGTGTTGTCCCCCAAAAAAATTCATTCCAACGCGGTTTAGTGCTAAAAAGATTTATACAGGAACAAACTGAATTTAATTTTAGTAACAAAAATAAATTATACTAACACTTTAATTCTCATTATAATGTAAAATTACATTATTTACTAATTTACGTTTAATTAAAAATCACTATTAGAAAAATTAAATAATATTATCAATTTTAAAACAAGACGAAAAATAGTTATTTCCAAATATAATAGAAAAACAATATGCTACCTAATTTTGTCTCTTTGGAGTTATTTTTTTATTACCCATTTATTATTGCTAAAAAAACTTTATATTAAAGCTTTGTATAGAGTAAGAAAAAAAGTAAAAATGAAATGTAAAAATTGCAAATTAAAAAATGAGCACTTAATGCAACATTCTGTAAATGTAGGGAACCTAAAGTTACCGCTTTGGAACCACGACGCGAACCGACTTTTGAAGTTCTCCAAGCCATACTGTATCACCTGTAAGAGATAAAAAATAATATTAGAATATTTCTAACAAATACATATGCTAGAAGAACAAAAAAAACAACGTAAAAATATAAAAACTCACCATCACATCTTGCTTAAGTTCATTTTCAGTCCCACCATAATAATTATACGGCGAAAAAAACAGTGGCGTCTCACTGCTATGGGGCACGTCGAATACCCCCAACTCCATGGACTTCGGTCGATCCTGTAGAGTTGACAGTAAACACGTTTTCCAGGTATTCAACGGTGCCTGGAACAATCCGATGTTTTTTAGGACTGATCATATGCAGCATGTAGATAGAATTTCTGACTTCTTCAATCTCGTTTTTTAAAATCGCGCTGCGAACCCGGGATATCCTAAAAAGATGAAAAAAAAATTAGTTATATAAGTAACTACAAGTTAAATTAGAATTTAAACTTATATCTACTATAAGTTTTAAAAAAGTTGCTCTAATTACTATACAAGTTATTCTACTTTAATTTGCAGCTCATGTACATATGTTGTAACAAAAAATCTAAAATATACAACACTTATATAAAAAGAATTTTGATTGCTACATGGTGCGATAAAAAAGTTATTTGGTAGAGAGTCTTAAAGTAGAGAGTTAAAAGTTTACAATTTAATGTAATATAAAAAAATTAGACTTACTTTTAACAGGTTTAAGTTAGGCCTGGTTATGCTCGCCTCCTACCGACATTTTCTGCCTTCAAAATTCGACGCGGGGCAGACCAAGAGAAAAAACAAAAAAATGTTTCCACGACCCGCCTGCGAGTGTGTGCTGGTTGCCTTCCTTATGCAGATTCGACCCATTGGTCGACGATTAAGCCTCACCAGTCAGTTCCCATCCCAATTAAGCCGCCTCGTCTGGGGTCACTCTCGTCACCCGTGGGACGGACATCCACCGGGACCCCCTACAGGCGGACCCCCCTCATCATCTTCAATGTGTCCGATATCCCGCCCCCTGCCTCTTCGAGGGTCACGGAATACGTGCACGAAGAAGTCTCGGAGCTTGGGTGCCAGGTCGTATCCGGCCGAAGCCTCTAGCATTAGAACACCTAGCTCGTAAACCAGAGGGTGGTGACTCCCTTGGGTACCTCTGCATGCTACACAGGTCATCGATGCCCGAACATCAGGGTTAGGGGTGACCCAAGAAGTCTCCTCTCTTGGGAAAGGCCGCGCCGCTCTGGAATCATCTTAAGCCCGGGAATCCACACCGACAAAAACACTGTTAACCAACTGCATCAGCTAACGAAATTCACTAATGTTGAATTAGGAAATTTTATTAACCAACACAGAGAGCTAGCAATGCTCGTGTGAGTGGGACAGGAGTGTGTGGTGTTGCAGTATTAATATAACGCGCCTAAAAAAAGAAAAAATATTGGGATACCTATAAGAATATTATCGAACACCTATAAAAATATTACGACAATATATAAATAGGTATATTTATTTTAAATGAAAAAAGAGATGCTCCATTTATACCTCAGCAATATTTTATAAGATTTTTCCTTGATTATTATACCAAAAATGTCAAAATTATAAAGATGTTAATGATCTAGGGAAAAAGGGATATAAATTTGATGAATATGGTCAAAATCCAAAGAATTTTTCCATAATGTACGACATAAAAAAATAAAAATACACAAGGAGTTTTTAGATTTGTAATATATTATTTAGAGCTAAAAGTTAAACTTCCAGTGTTTCAAATAAATAAAAAATAATAAAATTATATTTTTTTTAACAATGAGACATCCTATACATATATTTTATTACATTTCTAGTTTCTCCTATGAAGACACAAAAAACATTTGATCAAAATTTACCTCAAAATCATACTTACGGTGGTTAACAATTGATTTATTTCTTGAATGCAAATTTACAACTAATACTGAATTAGCAAAAATCATTTGTCAACACTAATACTATTTTTTAACATGTAATATTACATAACGCGCTTTAAAAGAGAAATATATTTTAAAATACCAATATCAGAAATCATTACAAAAATGCTGGAACATAAATATTTATGTAGGATTCTTAAATAAAAAAAAACTAAATAAAATTCCTAATGAACCTACCTATTTAAAACTTAAATACAAAAAACCTACTCATTCAAAATATTATTAAAATGCGCATATTGTATTTTTAAAAAATAAAGAAAATCTAAGTATGCCCTATATAAAAAGAAATTTAAATTAAAAATAGCAATTTACAAAAAATCAAGACATCGAATTCCAACAGGCGGCCATTTTATTTAAACATTCCTTGACCGAAAAAATTAAACAAAAAATCCAAGATACATTACGTAATTTACCAAAAATGTAGTACTATTATTTTACCCTTATGTAACCGCAGTATATAGAAAGTACAGAAAATACATAGTTTTACATACTTATCTATTAACTACGTATATTATTTAAACAATATCCTTAAAAATTAATAACTTAATGGGGAACATTGAGAACAAGGCAGACATGATGGATATTGCGAAATGCAAAAATTTTAAACTAAAATATCTCAAAAAATACATAAAATTACGGGTACTCACTTTTTCAGGAGGCTAAGCAGGGCATTAGTAACAGATTACGCATAAATTGTGTACACTAAACGCACTTTTTCGTCAGAAAATTAAAAAAATCGATGCAACGGACGGGAAGACGTGCGGATCCTTCGATTGCAAACGACTAGCAGGAGCGGTGTTGCCAGATTGAAGTCATTCGTAAAATTGAAGCTGCTCATAAAATTAATTTATTTATTACTAATAATATTGTTTATAGGAAAGTTCTTGTAAATTAAGCTTAATTTTGTTCTCAAAAGTTATTATTTACTCAATACGTTCCACTGAAATCGTTTTTTTTACGTAAGGCAAAATATTTATTGTCATAAATAAGAAACAAATAAGTAATTATAAACATAAACACACAAAAATCATGAAATAAACATAAAATGAAGCTGTTTAAATACATTTTTAATACTATAAATACATCGAAACCAAGAGAAAAGACTATAATGTTAGTACGTAATTACAAGAAGAAATAAAAGAAATTTGTACAAAACAACAGTACTGGTACTTGTTTTATTAAAAATATAAATATAGAAATGACTCTTACTATAGTGCCAGTGATCAATTTAAACTAATATAATTTTACAAAAATCACACAGAGAAAAAGATTTTCGACATTTTTTAACAATCCGGCAACATCGAACGAGAATAAAATTCAAAACTTCCACGCAACCGAAACTGACCAATCACGATCGAGAATTTTTTGCTCTTGGATGCCTCGATTTTAACTTTTTTTAATAAACATGGATGGTTTTTATTAAAATTTCAGTAGAATATGCTTCTTAAATTAATTAAATGATTTGTCTTTATTTGTATTTATTCCCTCCAGTATAAAATATCATACAAAACTTATTTTATATTGAAATTATCTGGTAGGCACATAATTAGATGAACTATAAAATCATGCATTTCTTTAATATTTTAATAAATTATTAAGAAACAAGTGTTTTTATTCAACAAATATCCCTTAGTTTAATAAGAAACTAATTCAATATAGTTAAATAGTAAGAAATATGAGATAAATTATATAACAAAAATAACTTCAGAAGTCTTTAACTTGACTCTATGTTAACAGCTCTTACCGGATATACCAGAGGATATACTAGGGGTTTTCGGAAATAAAATCCTAGATTAGGTAGTTTACTAATCAGCTGTTCCAAGATCAGTGCTGAGAGTAATCAGCTGGTAGTTTAATTACGAACGGTTGGATCATTAGATTTACCGGGTTAACAATCACATTTAAATATATTTCGTAAAAGAGATAAATAAACAAATAATCCTAATATCCCTCTTTAACGATTGTATAAGATCTATTTTTATCCTATTTGTTTTGCTTTAAGTATACTTTTTAGTTTCTGTAAGACTATTTTTTATAAAAACAAAATGTGTTTTATTTTAGGCTTTTTTAAAATTATGCCATTTAAAACAAAAACACTATAAACTTTATTTTAATCATTTATTTACTGCCAACATAATAAACATTCCATCATATTAATAATAAAAAAATATATCAATTTTTATCTACCAATTGTGATGAAAATTTTCAGAATTGTCTATCAAGTTCCATTCTTTCATTATGCCTGGCTATTTTAATCTAAATGTTTTAAACCACTTTTCTGTAGTTGAGTTTTCATTTTTTTCCTATTGGGTGTCTCCGATAGTGCTTTTTCGCAGTCAGTATCTTTAGAATTACTTGTTGGTTTTTTATTTATTTAAAATCTAGAGTTACTTGATGCTATGCTGATTGGCTCATTTTTACGGTCACTAACAAAATATCATGTATTTGATCAACATTAGATAAAGTGATTTCGGACAAAACGGTTATTAAAAAACTTTATACTTCTATGCGGACCGTTACGTTTAAAATTATCCTAGAAATGATCAGCTGATTAATTCTACCCACCTCATTAGGAGGGTTAGTAGGATCACAACATATGGCAAAAATCGAGTTATTCGGATCACTTTCCGAACGCATTGACTCGTTTTGAGATCACTTTTCGAACGTCTGGATTAGTAATCCTATCAATCCGATCAATCAGATCACAGTTTCCGAAAAGCCCTACTATCTGTTCAGCTTTTGGCGCCACAATTTTAAAATTTGAAATTTAATTAGGCCGAAAAATATTTTATTTACAAGAAAAAATAAATTAATAAGTACAAATTATGATCGAAAAAACGGCGTCCAGTTGGCTGGGAAATGACGATTGAATACATTTCCCATAAATTTACATATAAAATGACAGCGATCTTCATTTCATAGTCATCGCTGACGCTATTTTTTTCAATCATATAGTAAGGTATTATTTATATTATTATTTTAATATTTCGCACAACACGTGAAAAGCTTATTATGTATTTTCATAGTCAATAAAATTAAATAGAAATAAAATTCTAGATTCCTATAATTAATCTAACTGCTTAGATTATTTGTGTTATTATGCTACGTTTAAAAAGTGCTTTATTAAAAATTCGGAAAATTAAAAGCGATATGTGTCCAAGTTTCTTTTTTTTTAAATTTTTAAATGCTGTAGCTCCATATCATGTTCATAATAGGTTTTTCTTAACATTCCATTAAAACTACAGAGGCCTTAAAATGGCTTTTTAGCCTCCGTAATTAAAACTGTAGAATCAGCTTCAGCAACATTAACAGTTACCTTGTTAAGATTTTTCTATTCTTCCACCTAATTTATGTAATTTTCTTAGCATATATGATTTGTAAACCATATTTTTCCTAATGGAAGGATGGAAGGATATGCGCAAGATTAAGATATTTTAACATTTATTTTCCAGACAAAGCATAATATAGTATTAAGATTAAGACATAATTAGTATTAAGAAAGATCTTAATATAAATCACAAACTCACTAATAAGTCTTAAGTTAGTCTAGTATAAACACAGGTATAAAACTAATAAGATCAAAATTCAACCTTCACCATATTGTCAAGATTTGGCATTATTTATAGAAATTACAGTAAATTACGAAAAGAATATCATGCAAAGTACACGATATTAAATACTGTAATGTATTTTACGTTTAAAACCATTAAGAAAAAATCCGTAAATGATAATTTTTAATTCTAACGTAAATATATAAATAAATGTTATTATTATTACAATTATTTTATATACCTACTCATAATACTTTCATTTCACAATTTTCATTATCCTTCTTACCTCAATTTTGGATATCAAGATAAATCTGTAATTATAAAATTAATTATAGAATTTGTATTTTTACTGATTAATTTACACTCAAAAAAAATTTCAACTGCAAATAATTCGAAAATCGACGATGTGCGATTGCGTAGTATCGATGATCAAATGCAGCAAATATGGACTTCAAGGTCAGCCAATGGATCCACACCACAGACAAGGACACATTCTTTGCAGCCGCTGAGTAAATTTTACACAGCGGTCGGTCAGCCACAGAGATATATGTAGAGATGTCAGTCGCTGTCAGGGTTCGGAAAACTACATGTTACTTTTAAAAACTACATAAACTACATTACATGTAGTTAATGTGGAGGATGTAGTTTATGTAACCTATGTATATGTAACTTTCAAATATCAAAGGTTTGAGATGAGGTTATAATAAGTTGAAGCTTTAAAAAACACAATGTATTTAAGAAAATAGAAGAAATATGGCTTTAAATGTAATATTCACACATCATATTATTTAGACCTCTCATACAAAGCAAAATTATTCATAATATCAATACATATTTTATTAACGTAGTTTTCATGTAGTTAATAAACGGGAAAAGACGTAGTTTTTGAAGAGAAACTACACGTAGTTAATCAGGTAAATTATGTCTTAATTAACTACTGCCGAACCCTGGTCGCTGTGTTCCCTAGCCCACGCGCTATGGAGTGACTAGAGAAGAAGGCAATGTCAAAATCTGTTATCTATGGTCAAAATTCAAAGTATGTTCTTTTGTCAAAGTTAGGTTAGGTAACGCAATTTTACAATATTTTTCCGGAAATATGGATAGAAATTCTCTAAAATGTAAGATAGGCCCATCGATTTTGAACTCAGACCTATCACAGCTTTATGCCGAATCCCAGAGGCTCTTAGACAATGGGGCGGACTACCTTCATCTGGACGTTATGGATGGTCACTTTGTACCCAACTTAACCTTTGGCCACCCAGTAGTAAAATGCCTAAGAAAAAAAATACCACATGCCTTTTTCGAGACTCATATGATGGTACAGAACCCAGAGCAGGTATATTATCCCACTGTCTTAATCTAGAACCAAAATAACATACCCTTATTTCAGTGGATCGAACCTATGGCAGATGCAGGTGTAAGTCAGTACACATTTCATATAGAACCTGTTTTAAAAGATGTCCTTCCTTTATGTCGGAAAGTTAGAGAGGCTGGAATGAAAGTGGGTCTAGCTTTAAAACCAGGAACCGGTATTGAAGCTGTGAGGCAGTTTATTAATCATGCAGACATGATTTTAATCATGACAGTGGAGCCAGGTTTTGGGGGACAGAAATTTATGAATGACATGATGCCTAAAGTGCAGTGGTTGAGACACAATTATCCATTACTAGATATCGAAGTTGATGGAGGTGTAGGCTTAAATACAATCACTGCATGTGCTGAGGTAAAGAATTCATTAATTTTAGTTGTATTTTTGTCACTTATTTATATTTTTAGGCTGGTGCAAACATGATAGTGGCTGGTACAGCAATCATAGGAGCCTGTGATCAGAAGTCTGTGATTGCTAGTTTGCGGGAGACTGTAGAACGCTCAATACATAAATGCAATGTCTAAGTCTGCATGTAAAATGTGATAAAAGTATCTATAGGTATACACATCTATAGGTTAATAGAATAATATTCTTTATACACACATTATTACATGTAATTGTTCTGAAGAACTGATATTGTTATGAATAAAATAATTTGCAATCACTGTTAAATCATAAAGAGAATTATTCTATTGGCTTCAGACTATCAGTAATTTTAAAGAAACATTGTTAAGGATATAGTGTAATGGATAATGGCTATACATTCCTAATAATAATGATAATATTTAGGTAAATTGTTACAACATAGTTATGTCAATTGATGACTCTATTACATAATTCAATTGATTTCAAATTGGGTTGCTGAATTTTATATTGTACAGGGTAAAATATATCCCAGAATGTGGGTGTCATATTTTAGATTTAATATGGATATTTTTTTTCTAAAGCCTAAAATTTTATACAACTGGGAATTTTTTTACAGATTTTAAAATTCTGTTTTGTGAATTATATTATTTATGGTGTCTATATTATTTGCCGTAATTGTTATTACTTTTTAGTATGGTTATTTTTTAAAATTCTAAAGTCTAAAATTTCTTTTTTCTTTTAAAGCCATGTTTCTTGAGATTTTATAAATATATAGTGCGTTTGTTTGTTATGCAGTAATTGTTATATCCCAAAATAAAGGGAAATTAGTTTTGAATTTATTACGGATGTTTTTTTGAATTCTAAAGCCTAATATAAATTTGGGGAATCAATGTAATTCTTCAGATTTAAAAAATCTATATTTTGTTTATTTATACAATAAATGTTACATTCCAACTGCCATAATATGTACCATAAGATCGAAAAAAGGGCGTCGCGGTGGTTTTTGAAATTACATCCTATGATAATTTCTGTTTAACTGACTTCTATGTTAAAAATTAACATTTAAAAATTTATAGTTGTAAAGCTATTCATTAATTTTTTTTTCAAACGTCACAAAAGTATTAATTTTTGCAAAGCGATTGATAATATAAAAAAGTCATTTTAACGCCTAGTCATAAAAGTAAAGCACTTTTACGCCTAAGCATATGCCTATGCACAAAAGTATGAAAATATATTATACTGATATGAAGTGTCAAATTCAACGAGCGTAACCATAGTTTCTAGATAGATAATTACATACAAGGTATTACTATTAAATATTTTTATATTATTTGGAACGTTTCAAATTGTTTAAAAAATTATTCGTGGCGTTTGAAAAAAATAGCATGTTCTATTCAGAGTAAAAAATTACTTTTTATGGCTCACCTGTATGTCAAATGTACAGCCTCGCCACCAAAAGTGTCATTTTTACTCCTAATAATCAATATACTATTTTTGAAGAGATTTGTTTTTGAAATATTTTTACTCTTCTCAGTTTTCTAGTTTACCTTTCATGGTGCTGTTTTTTCGATTTTAAGGTATTTAATGTGAAAATGTAAAGAATACTTTGCTAATTTTTGTAGTGAACTCTTTGACATTCTATTTTTATATTGAGTTTTTTACTATTGTTAAATTGTTTAGAATTTTAATATTTCATCTAAAATGAATAAAACAGAATGTAACGTTATATCACATGTGTTTTATTTGTTTGTATGTTATATAATTTAAGTGTGTGTGTTTAATTATAATTTAAAATTTATAAAGAATCTTCCTTATCAGTTTTTGTGTTAAATAGTAAGGGGTCACTTGCTGACTTTGTTTATTATATGTAACGAGATTAAATAGTTTCAAAATATACATAAGTGAATTTCTTGATAATTCAAAATATAATCAAAATACAAATGGATATTACGTTATGTAACCATTAATATTAATACATGCTCTGCCATCTTACATCAGGAAGTTTACTCTTTCTGAACCTTGGATTACAATTTTCTGCTTCGCTTTACTTTATGAATAGGGTTCCTAGATGGATCTGACTGATATAATTTTTATTTAATAATATACAGGGTCGCAATGAATGGAAACGGTCGATTATTAGGTAAAATATACAAGGTACCGCAAAAAGTTAAATACAAAAATTACAGCGTTTTTAAATGTCTATTGGCGAGTAATAAATTTATGTATAGAGAGTCGGTCATAAGTCGTGGCACATCAAAGTTTCATTTTTTTAAATAGATATTGTAATGTATATTATTGCATATTTCAATTTCTTCCTGCAATTTTAAGCAAAAATTGAAATACACATATTGTACCTCAAACCAACCGTTTCCGATTTCCGAGTTATTGACTTTTGAACATATCACTTAAACAATTTGATTTAATTAATTTCGATATGTTCAGTTTCGTTTAATCATATCATTCTGCCGAAACTGTGATACTTAATAATATTGGACATAGTTCTGAAGTTAGCATTTATAGATATATAAAATGAGATTATATCAAATCTGACAGTGGATTCACATTGTGTATTACTATTATTGCTTAAAATTGAAGGAAGAATTGAAATATGCAATAATATATAGTGGGTTTCATTTAAAAAAATAGTATCACAGTTTCGGCAGAATTACATCATTGAATGAAACTGATATCGATATTAATTAATATATAATTAATATAGTATGCAATAATATACAGAGGGTTCTGTTTAAAAAAATGAAACTTTGATGTGCTACGACTTTATGACCAACCCTGTGTACATAAATTTATTACTCGCCAATAGACATTTAAAAACGCTATAATTTTTGTATTTAACTTTTTGCGGTACCTTGTATATTGTACCTAATAATCATTGCCTGGAAACTTATATGGTGAAATTTTGATAAAATAATTTAGTACACACTAAGAACACGGTATGTCGCTAGTGGTAGGAAAAATAATTTTTAGAGGTTACTAGTTTATTTGGTTGCCTATGATATGCATATACAGGGTGTTTCCTAATTAATCTAAAAATATAAAATCGTTAGAAAACGAATTAAGGCGGGCTCTTAATAAGTATATTTATTTTTTTCTCGACAACCGTTTGATGAACAATAAAAACTCAAAAGATAGATTTTGTTGAAAAAGGATGGCCAGTCAAGAAAAAAATATATTTTCTTTAAAAAAGCAGTGGTCGTACCATTTATGTAAAGCAAAAAATCGTTTTTTTAATTTTTTAACACCCTGTAGATCAGAAAGGAAGTACTTTAGACCCAATGGTTATATAAAAATTGTTTTAAGAACAAATGAGGAATCACACCATAATTTTTTTAGACTAATTCGAAAACATCCTGTATATTGTCAACTTGACAATGACTGCTGATAAATCAAAAAATACCTTTTCAGTGAAAAATGCCTGATTTTCGCAGGAAATTTTTCGCAAGAAAATTTTAAATATCATAGTCAGAAATTTGGGCCTTTATTAACTGCAAATACTGGTTTGTTGTGTTGCATCTTGCTATCTAACTAACAAAACGTACGTACGTGTTTCCAAAAGACGATAAGGTATGTACATATCTTAGATAAAAGAAAAATATATGGTAAGTATTCGTGGTTTGATTTTTTTTTCGTTCGCTTTAAAATCTATAAATCTCGGTCTATTCATTAGACAGCCAGTCGACTTAACGATCATTTACATGAAACTCTGTAAAATAAATAAAAAAATAAATTGTAAAATATATATATTCTTATGTTTTATTAAAGTTACTCTGCTTTACTAATATATCAGTGTAACTTTAAAAATAAATCCTTTGAATTCAAATATAAACAAAAAAACATTTACAGCAGAAAAGGCGAAGGCGCTGGGTTAAACGTAGTCTCCACTAAAAACACGGAGGGGCGCTTTGACCCAAAATTTTACTATTAAGTTTCATATCTATCTTAATAGTAGATTATTTTCTTTTATCTATGCTAATAATCGACCGTTTCCATACATAAAAGCGACCCTGTATTTTTGTATATAAAAATATTGGCAGTTTTCAGCAAAACTAATCTAAAGAAACTTAATAAAATGCGCTGATTTATTCCCGTTTTTATACAGGAATATATTTTATATCTTAATGTCTATGATTATTAAACTCTTTTAAATATTTTCCCTTGTTGGTCTCTAAAAGTTACCACTAAATTTCTAGAAATTCTTGAGAAAATTGTATGAGCCTGTGCTCATTTAGGATGGTTGGTTGAAGTGGCGAATGCGACCGCTTGTCGAACCGACCATTCACTCTGAGACCCTATATCTAGGAAAGCCTAGACCTAGGAAAGTTGGATTGTTAACTGTTGATAACCATTAGATGGCATTAAGGTAACGGGTGAGTTCCGTTATGCTCTTCCCGGCAACATCTTCAAGATTTACAAAGCTGTAACCTCCGAGAAAATAACTGCGTGTCCCATACAAAGTAGGACAGCGGAACAGGAAATGCCCTGTGTAGGACCTTCCTTTGCGTCCTTGCAGCTTCAGCAAATTTTGTTAAATGGAAACATTTTCGCCGCATTTGGGCGAACCCCCGCATCACCAATGATTGGGCAGTGTCCCCTGTGTACCGCCATTAGCCTGGCGATATCCCTACGCGACTTATGAGCGAAGAAGTTATTATGTTAGGAGCTTTCCCGATTTTTTAAGGTCATATTTGGGCCAAGTTTTCCTGCCTATCCTGCAGGAGCTTAAAGTTTTCCATCTACTGTTCACCATTGACAGAAAACGGAGTTAAATGTCTTTTATATGGTATTGAAGGGAGTAAAAACTTCTTCTGATGCATCTAGGAACCTGGAACCATAGAGAAAGTAATAAAAAAGAATTATTATCTTTCTATATGCCTGGAACCCAAAGCAGGTTATGTATTATTATTTGTCGTACGTTTTTTTACTATTTTGGAGGATATGGTAGATGAGTTCAGCGCCGACATGTTTAGTTTGGTTTGGCTGGTTCTCCTCGCTCAGCCATTCGCAGGCCTTCCAAATGGAAAGTATCTCTGCCTGAAAAACACTTGATCTATCCGGAAGCCGATAAGGCCTTGCGATGTCAAGACCCTTAGGAGAAACCTCCAAATCTACATCTGAATCCATCTTGGATCCGTCAGTAAATAGCTAAATAGCGCAATATCAAATTCCTTCACTAGTTTGTGAGTCTCCCACTCATTTCTGGTTGGAATTTGGACTAGAAAGTTCTTGCCAAGTTCCAACCTAGGTGTGAGATAGTCTGATAGTCGGTCCAGCAATAATATCCTTCGGTAATCTTCCAAGAATACTGCTGTGACCGTATGGTTTCTCCGTCCAGCAACCAATTTCTCTAAGTCTTATTGCACTACTAGAGTCCAGATTTTTAATATGAAGAATTAATGGGAGGAGGTGGACAAGCACATCTTTATCGCAGAGTCTGCAGCAAAGACTTCCTTGATACAGGTTGAGCTTGTTCAGGTAACACTTTACAGCCATGTGTCCTCTCAAGAGGCCTGTTGTAATCCGCACTTTATTCCTGCTAAGCATTAGCAGTTCTTTTGCGGTTTTAGAGCTAGGTCGTTGGATAAAAGCCTTGCTGTGCCTGTGCCCTGTCTGTTTCTCCAGTGCACATTCTGTTTTTCCCTGATCCAGAGTTTTAGTGCACTACGGGTCATACATTTGGGTATTCCCAGTACTGGCTCTAGACCAAGATAGGATGCCGATGATCCTTGCCTAGCTAGCTTATCGGCTTTTTCGTTGCCTTGGATGCCGCTGTGGCCCGGCACCCAGAATAATTTAATTAAAATCTAGTTAATATTGATCTTCTAGTTTGCCCAACATTTTTCCGATTACAATCTTTACAAGAAATTTTTCAAATACCCGACCTTTCCAGTAGAGGTGTTTTATCCTTAGGATTACCTAATAATTGCTGTAATTTATTATTAGCACTATACACAAGTTTATAATTGACATTCTTAAAAAATTCTTTTAGACCATGGGATAACTCTCTATCAAACGATATTGAAAAATATTTTGACGTATATCTTTCTCCATTTGAAAAGTCGAATTTTTAGAGATCAAAAACTTATACCTTAGAAAGATTGACTATTTGCTCTACAAGCTAATGTTATCAGAGTTTCAATCGGAAGTACGTAATTGGATTTCTTTAAATCGCAACTTTTCTCTAATTTAATCAACTTTGTATCTCTTCTGGCTTCCGAAATCCTTGTTCATTCTTATATGAGACCCCGTGTAAAATTATAAAGTAACATAAAAACATATAATAAAAATATTTGTCTTAAACAAAACCCATTAATAAACCGGCATAATCTAATATATCCTCATAATTATGTATCTACATCCTAATAATCTTAGAGCTAAATGAAAACACAGTGCGCAATAAACCATATACCTACATCGGTATTTCTACCTCGTCGAAAATTTAATTTCATTAAGCAATTTAATCATATCATCAGACTTAATGCCGTATAAGCCACCTCGGTTTGATTTATTGAGTCTCTCCCTAAATTCTCCTCCCCAAATTTTAGATCCAAGTTGTTAACCCTCAACTGCACAAGGGAGTGAGAATTTGCGTACACATACAATATACATATACATAGATCTCGCAATAATAACCTGTAACCTGTTAAAGATTAAAATTATAATTCTTTATATCCAAATCTCATCTACAAGTATTTCAGTTATTTTATGATA